TAAGCACAATTTTGTAAATTCACACCTCAACTGCATGGAAAACCGCTTACGCCATGACATTATCCAATATTGTTTACAACATTTTACAAAAATTTGATTTTTTGTTTAAAAATTTTAAAGAAAAACTTTCGATTTCTCATTTTTCTCTACTTGGAATAATTTTATTTATTGTAATCTTTCCTCTCATCAAATAATGCGCATTGAAAATGTGTCACAAACTAATCCGCTTGTCGGGAAGCGGCTAGTCAATATCGAGACGTAGCTCGACTTCCGATTGGTTACTCCATCAATGATCGATATTGTCGGACCCAAAGACCTAACGAGTTATTTTGTTGTACCTGTGTTAGTCTAGACGTTTGTGTGTGCATGTAGAAGTAAGGGCTTTTATTCAAATCGCAAAATGAGGATATCGTTTAAGGTTGCTCAAGTCTGTGTCACACGTTGATGAAATCGATTTACTGAGGCTCTAGTTAGACCGCTAAAGGAATTCTACAACTTTCCAGAGTTGAATTGCATATTTGCAATGTAGAAGCTGGGAAGTCATAGAAAAAAGGCGGGAATAGCAATAAACAGACGCTCCGGCTCTGCGTTTTAATCCGATAAAGAGTAAAACCCTTATGATGACAGGAATCTCGCGCCAGAACCAATTTAGAAAGCGCTTAGATTGCGACTTGTGTGCGAAGTTGCACAAACCTCGTGATTTGACTGTCACTTCTAGTTCACCGCGTTCAGCAGAATAGCGCGGGGTTATTTTAATGTGCGTGGGCCACATTGGTAGGTCCTCTTCTCTTTAATTACTCAAGCTGTAATCTCATCTACACACGCCATGCACCCAGTTGAGTGCAAAGATGAGTGCGTAAGTGAATGAGTGCTTATGACTTGTACCGAAAAAGATCGTTAGTGATGGGAACTACTCACTACCAGTTCTGCCGTAAAATCCCAACCTCCTGCAAGAAAGGGCTGTCAGACCTTGATCGAGACGCAGTTGGTGTTTTGTTGAGATCTGAATTTAATCAACACGACATGGCTAAATGTAGCATTTGTAAGGCTGGAGTCCTGCATCAGTGTGCTTTACTCCTTAAGCCTACCTGAAGACCCAGCCAACAATTGATTTTTGCTCCATCGTGTTCTACCCTGAACCCCTTGGATGGCATTTGTAATCGCATTGATCAGCTGAACTGGATCCAACGAGCGTCTGGTATTGACCTTGGATTGCATTTGGCGGTAGACTGATCAAGATATTGCAAAACTGACCTCCAACAAATCCTTGCAGAGGTCGTGGCTAAGCTTAGAAATTTGGAAAATCCTGTAGCTCAGGATGGTTCAGCGATCCGATAGCCATTAATAGTAAGTGCTCTGGGTTTCCCAAAAATGTTGGTGGCAACCACAACTACTTAATCTTTATCTTGCACCCATCAAACACAACTCTGCGTTTTACCTACATGCTTTTTAAGCAAATTTCGGTAAGAGAGCATTGTCAAATGCCTCAGAAGTTTCAGGTACGGCTGAGGTTCATTCAAATTTGCACGTGTGCCTTTAAGGTTTAGCAACGCAGCAGCATAGGAAACACCTAGAAATCGTTTTTCGAGGTTATACTGCAAATTATTTAGTTCTCAAAGCCATAAAACTTCAGATTTTCCATGGACCAGTTTAACATTTCCTAAGATCCACTACAGCGTATTCCAAAAGCACCACCAGAAACGGATGCGTTGCAGGATTCCAGGTCGCCTTCACAATCTTCACAGATTGAGAAACACAATTCAAGCCAGATTTGGCGTCCAAGCATTGTGGTTATGGAGGAGGAGTGTTGGTGACGTCCCTTACGGAAGTCCACGAACCTTTCCAATGTTCGATTACTTGATTTCTGTTTATTGCGATAAATTAGAACGTGTTTTACGAGAAAAAATATGTTAGCAGACAACCAGGTGCACGTGATTGCTAGTCGTGACTAACAAGCGCATCTGAGTAATTAACTTGGATTTGAAAACAAAGTACACCCGAATCTGATTGGTCAACAGCGAACTTCGCCAAGTCCGAATTCCTCCGTGATATTTAAATGCCAAATTCTTGGCAAATTAACTCAACTAAGTGCGAGAATTATTGATTTTGCGTGTTCTATTTGTATTGTTGAATTTACTGGCTTAATATTACGCGTTGAGTAAAGTTTTATTCCATCTAACGGTGTTTATACTCCATTAACTTCTAGCCAATCAAATCTGCCTGAAAAAGTCGATAATTCACCTACACCTAGTCGAAACCAAAGAGAAGGAGGTTGCGTGAGTACATATGTGAGTGTATTTAAATACAAAAATAGGAATGGGCAAATATCGTCTAGATACACGATTACACCATGACAAGTCAATTTATTTGGTTCCCATGACATCCTTTTCCGTCGAGAGATTCACGGGATTCGAAATTGTGCTCAAGGGAAATCGCGGTTTCCGTTTCTCTCGCATCCGACGGTTCTGAAACCACGTCCTGATCTAAATTGCCAAGAGGACCAATGATAAACAAAGGGCTAATATTGGCGAAGTTTAGTAACAGAAAATTCCGAGCTCACCCTGTCTTCAGAAAGCCCAAGCCGTTGAGCGAGGAGCTCACGATCCTGGGTGGAGAGATAAGTCTGGTGCTTGTAGAAGTTTTCCAAGGCGAAGAGGTGATGTGGTTGGAAATAAGCTCGTGCTTTTCGGTACCGTTTTCCTCTGACACAATTCTCATTTGGCCAGTCTGGGGAGTTGGAGGTCCTTGATGGTCTAGGAGACGCCGAGTTGGAGGAAGTCTCAAGACTGGGAGAGTCTTCAACCGATGGAGACTCGGTGTTTGCCTGTTCGAAATAAGATGGAGGGTCGGAAGAGAGGTTGACCTTGCGTTTTGTTGAAAATATCCTCCAAGAGCCGATCAGATTATCCAGGAGTTGCACGTACTCTAAAATCCAAAAAAAAACACAGAATCGGGTGTGAACAGTCGTCTTCACATCTCTAGGCGTAACACACAAAGTGAGCGGTTTTCAGCTCACCTTTGGGCCGGCTTTGTCCCCAATTTTTGGATAAAAGTTCGTTTGGTGATGGGACGGTAGGAACAACGCATGGGGCATAGTGATCCGGCAGTCGTAGACACCTAGACTTCACCTGACAACTCAATGCGCTCTCATGATTGGCCAGAATTAGCGATAGTGAGTAAAGTGCGGCTTTCTTAGAAGTGCTCAGGTTGTCGATCGGAAGCATGCTGAGTTGAAAAAAAAGTCTGAATGACCACACGCCGGGCTGTGCGGGTTATATACTGCGAACGCAGGGCCCGCTTTGCTATCTCATTGGATGGTTCGAGCGCGCACGAGCATGCTCAGCACACACGCGCGCACCTGGTGTTGTTCTAACTACCGCAAATGTGAAATGAGGTAATTAGAGTGGAGTTGAGTGCGAATGCACTCAGGTATGTACATTAGCACTTTCTTTGCGATTGCGCATAGTCACGGCGTCGTCAAGATTAACTTGTTGGCACCTTACCAATTGACTGATTCTCAAGCCTTTGACACCAACGCTTATCACATAATATGGCGTGAGTGCACCTGTTCTCAAAAACCTGCCTCAAGAGCAAACTTGCAAGGACTTACGCAGGTGCAAAAACATAACTCGTTAGGTCTTTGGGTCAGGCAATATCGATCAATGAAGGAGTAGCCAATCAGAAATCGAGCTGCGTCTCGATATTGACTTGTCGCTTCCTTTCATGCGGATTGGTTTGGGATACACTGTCAATGTGCATAATTTGATAGGTGGATAGATTACAATAAACAAAATTATTCCAAGTGGAGAAAAATGAAAATACTAATATTTTCTTTAAATTTTCAACCAAAAATTAAATGTTTGGAAAAGGTTGTAAACAATATTGGATAATGTCATGGCGTAAGCGGTTTTCCATGCAGTTGAGGTGTGAATTTACAAAATTGTGCTTAGTGTGTTGATGGCAGAAACCGACAATTCAGATAGCTAACGACGCATTTCCTTCAGTAGTTTTGCCTGTTATTGTTTACACAATCAATGGGATTGTAAGCGAATAACTATCTTCAAGTTTGGTCCTACTACAGCAACTATCTCGGAAATGCAGACACCTAGCCACTTCCTTCTTCTCCTCCACCTCTTCCTCTTTCTTATCAACATCACTTTCACCATCTTCGTCATCATCTTCTTCTTCATGCTGTCTCCTCACCACAGACGGGATCAGGTCTTCAGGATAAATTTTCCTGATTTGAAAACCCATTGCTCAATCAGATGGTGCTTGCACCACACCGATTCCTCAGTCGACGACAATGTGGATGATTTGGTGACGTGGCAGGCCATCTGAGGTCGTGGGCATCACCTCAGTGTGGAATCATTTCACGACGAGAGTGGACGTACACTTCGATCGCCAATTCTAAATCGTGTTCACGAATGTTCAACTTCGTGGAACTCCTTGGAACTGAGGAGGGCATCATGCCGTCAAGTGGTCAGTTTGGAGGTGGTGCGATTGCGTGTGGTTGTGCACAAATCCGCAAAGTGCTTTAACGTGAAAATGATGACCCAGCACGCATAACCACGTCACACTTGAGTTTCGTGTGTTCTTCTGGTGCATTTGCCAGTGTGCAGACTTGGATGCTGCAATTGGCTAGAACGTTAATGGGATATTTGTGTCTTTGGATGGAGATTGCCTCCAAGGTCGGGTGTTTACGTGTGATCAGGTGACGTTAGTATTGGCGTGAGTGTAGAGTAGTGAATTGCTCATTGGGAAAATCTCTGTAGCTTCTTAATTCGATAGGTGCTACGAAGTGAAGTGGCCCCAACACTGGCAGCGGCGTGTGTGAGCAAATGAAGGTGTGATCAGTGCGTGATTCGAGGAAGTGGAAAGTGTGTCAAGGTCAGCGTGGCGCCCCGAGTAGTCAACGGAAGAAACCGCCTCCACCCCCACCACCACCGTGCAAATTCGAATTTATTGCTTCCCTGTGTTGTTTGTCTCTCTCTGGTTTGTAAACATCCCACTGCCTACACAACGTTAGACACAACACCAGGCAAACTCGTGCAAGTTAGTCAGCAGTGTGTATAATCGGCATATGGTGTCACAAGTAGCGTGCAATTCCACGAGCATGTGCCTTCGTGGTTTCTTATCAGTGAAAACGTTGTAATTGCATTATACTCACATTAGACAAGGAAACATTCGGGCAGCTAATTACGTCACCAAATGTGCGATTAGCTGAGGCATGAACTAATGCATCACTGTGCTCGTGTTGTGCGTGCAAATCGCATAGAAGTTAAGTGTGGTGGATAAATCCACATAGCTTACACGCTGTTTCAAAGCAAAGACACATCTTCGATGTGGCTCGATGTGGAACACCAAACTTTTGCACATCATGCACTACACTCGAGTGCCTTCTGCACACACAGACACACGCAACCACACACACACACACTCGCACACACTCAAGAACCGATTTTCGTGTTGCTGTGACCTTCAGGATTTAATTCGGCGCCACGTTAACGCGATGTCTTGGGTATCGATGTGTAATCGATTTTTTCGCTCACATGATCAATGACGAGTTTGGGTTATTCATTCTTTGCAAAATAGTAGCGTAGTAATGGCTGTTGGTTGTACAAACTAACAGCCAAATTCGTGATCCAAGCATACTGACGAAATATCGCGTCATTTAATATCAGAAAGTGGTCATGCGAATTCGTGTGAGAACCATTCGTGTTGGCAATCTATCTTAACTCACATAAATCGTGGTGTTGATTGCAGTGCGATTGAGATTTCGCCAGATTGTTACAGGTTTTCTTGCTCTCGGCTTAACCTTCGTGATCTTGTCAACCAAATTTCGCAGTTTTGATCAAGAAGAGGTCTGATGACTTCCGAGTCATTGGCGACTCCTTGACGTCGACAAGGTGGACGAGAACTGGTGCATTGCAAAGTTGCAGTGTAGTAATGACTTCTAGCCTTAAACACTGATTGCCAAATTCGTGATCCAAATGTGATTATTTCACATTTGATGTCTTGGGTATCGATGTGTTATCGATTTTTCATCACGTCAACAATTGTTCGATTAGCTAAGGCATGAACTAATGCATCACTGCGATCCGCATTTCATACAAAAACCGCACGAAAAATTGTGTGGTGGGACCAACTAACTTAAACGCTATTTGAATGCAAAGACAGCTTTGATGTGGCTCGATCTGGAATAACAAACTTTTCCACGTCATGCACTACACTCGAGTGCCAAAAATCGATTTTTGGTTCTCTTGTGACCTTGAAGATTTAATTCGGCGCCACGTTTTCGCGACGTCGTGGTATCGATATGTTAACGATTTTATCACTAACACGATCGATGACAAATTTGAGTTATTCATCCATTGTAAAGTTGCAGTATAGTAATGACTTCTAGCCTTACACACTGATTGCCTAATTCGTGATCCAAATATGATCATTTCATATTTGAAGTAATTAAGTAAATTCGTGTAAATCGATGTTTCAATTAGTCTGTCTTACCTGTGAAGGGCATGATGGTATTTGCAGCAGAATAAGGACTTTCTCTGATCTTGTTTTTCGGAATGCAAAATATGTCCAGAAGAGGCCATTCAAGCTGATGGCAGTATTTGGTCGAGACACGATCCCACTATTTCTGGAGGTCGTCGTCAAATGACGCGAAATGATTGGTTGATTCGATTCGAACCATGTCAAATACTTGGTTGAATCTTATCTGTGTATGTGAATAAAGCAGTCTGACAACGCATGCCCCAGGTTTTTGTCCAGTGAAGACGCCATTTAAGCGGCTCTTATGCAGTGATAGGAGACAGGTAAATTTAGGCTCTGTTCTCTGCCACCACTGTACCCCCTCGACGGTGTGTTGCGAGATTTCATTTGATGAACCACACTAACTTCAAGCCAATTACAACGAACAAATTCGTCTTCTCACAACTTACACTATCTGGCCACCATATCCTCCTCCTTCTCCACCTGATCTTCCACCCCGAAAGAAGGAACCCATGTCCCTACAGAATGCGGCTCCGTTTGAATGAACACCACCACCACCACCACCACCACCACCACCACCACCACCACCACCACCACCACCAC